CCCCCCCCGCGTGTCCCCACTGTCCCCCCCCCCCCGCGTGACTGCGTCACTCCCCCGCCGTGCCCTCAGCCCGCCGTGTCACCCACCCTCCGTGCCACTAACGTGCCACACGCTGTGTCCCCTGTGCCCTTCATGTCCCCTGTGCCCCCCCGCGTTCCTGCCACCCCTGTGCCCCCCGTGGCCCCCCCGTGCCCCCTGCACGCTCTGTCCCCTGTGTCCCCCCGTGTTCCCCCTGCCCTCCATGTCCCCTGTCCCCGCTGTGTTCCTGGCACCCTCGTGTCCCCCGTGTCCTCCGTGTCTCCGGTGTCCTCCATGTCCCCTGTTCCCCCCGCGTTCCCCGTGCCCCTCCACGTCCCCTGTGCTCCCTGTGTCCCCTGTCTCCGCTGTATTCCTGGCACCCTCGTGTCCTCCGTGTCCTCCATGTCCCTCCGTGTCCCCCGTGTCCCCGTGTCCCCCGTGTCCCCTGTGCCCCCCGTGTCCCCTGTGCCCTCCGTGCCCCCCGTGTCACACGGAGGGGGGGACAGAGGGGGCGGCAAGGCGAGGGTGACTTGGGGAGGGGGGCGCGGCTGGGGAGGTGACAAGGGGAGGGGGACACAGCACGCGGGAACGGGGACAGGGGTAGGACAGCGTGATGTGGGCAGGGGACACTGGGGGGGTGACAGGGACAGGGGACGGCACGGGCAGGGCGTGACACGGGCAGGGGTCAGCACCCCTCCCCAGCTGTGCCCACCCCACGCTGGGGCACAACACCCCGCGGAGGGGACAGGAAGGTGGCAGTGGCATCGCTGTGCCCCCTGGCACGGGGGTCCCTGGCACGGAGAGGGGGACAGGACCAGCGGAGACCCCGACGCGGGGAGGATAATAAATAGAGCATCAAAAGTACAAACCGTGGGCAAGGCGCGACCCCGGGGGTGGCACCGGGGGGCTCGGGGGGCTCCGGGCCCCTCGGGGCTATACCAGGGCGGAGCGCGGCTCGCAGGGGCCCACGCTGGCGCAGCTGCTGCGGCGGCGGGGCCCGGGGGTCGG